TGGCAACGGCTTGGGCAGTGTGGCCAGCGTCTAGTATTCCTACACTTGGTTCTTCTGAACTGTCGTGGGTCGTGGCATGCTGCTGACGTTGTAGTGTGAATGATTCAACCAGGTATGGAGGTGCATTTTATAGGGCTGGTCCCGGTGAACAGCACGTGCAGCATAAGTTACAAGAAAATAATGGAGAACACATTACCATCTAAGAAGTCAGGTTGCGTTTTTGAGAACATTTCTTGGGTTCAATTATGTGTTTGGAAAGGAGCCTTATTGCTCAGATAAAGTTGGAGATGTGGTCACAAATATACAATAAAAACATTTGGCAAGTTTTATGCAATGCGTCTATTCAGAGTAACATACCAGCCTGACGTTTCTTTTGCTGCTTAGTATATTAGACAATCGAAGAACTCCGATTGGATGGTTGAGTCTGGGACATAGTATACGCACAGTACATTACTTTAGTAAGTAAACAGTCTTAAGACTAACTAGAAATCAGCCCGATTTCTTCAAGTTTGGGAATGTGACCTCAAAGATTTGTTGAAGAGAATCCTGTCATCAACCTCTCAAAGACAATAAATTATCGCCCAGTTATTAACTATTCAGATGGTGTATTGTATAAGTGGCATATTACACTGCTCTATATTTAGAATGTAAAACTAAAGCTAGATGGTTTTGGAATCAGGTTCTATGAGATTTTCAATTCAAATTGAATAAGAGAATAAGAAAAACTAATCAAATTAAACATAGAAATAGACAAATTTAATAACAATTTATTATAGTAAAAAAATTTGATTCAAATACTACATAATGTAATAATAAGCTTATTAATTAGATGTAATATCTACTGCATCTTGTCTAAGCCAGGGTATAAAATATCTTACACTATTTTACTCATATACTTTGACATTGACCAATTTGATGTTAACCAATTAAATGATTTTTTAACTTTTTCCTGGGGAGATTAATATTCATAAGTAAAACAAGGGTTGTTGAGCACATTATGGTTGTATAACTCTTGCCAATTATATATTTATTTTCATAGAAAGGGTTCAATATCGAAATATTAATGGCCTATTGAGCCTATTGTACAATGCTATTTACGAACTAATCAATTATGTAACAGAGTGATTTATACCTGAAGTTGACGTTTATATTATGTTCGTTATTTATTTTTAATAAATAACATGGTGTGACAATCTGATCTATAACTGTATAACTGAATTGACGTTAAAACTCTCGACAACTTCTTTGAAGACACGTTCTTAATAAACATCTATTTTATTCAAGATGTTCTTTAACAAGCTACACATGATCCGCGTGTAACACTAGACTGAACTTCAAAGAGAATGTATCATATATACCTTGACCTGACAATGACTTTTAAAGAAATATGCAGTTTAATTACAAACACCATAATTGATAATAAACAATACCATATATGATTATCCATTCTGTCCACCTCAGCTAATTGTTAGAGGCTTTATAAGCAACGTTTACTGACAGCAAGTCAGACTTGGAATAGAGCTCCCCCCCACCCCCGAGTTCAGCCGCTGCCTTGGCAGAGGGGCGGAATGGTTGATTCAAGATTGTTAGATGTGTTCCTGTCGTAGACTAGTTCTTGTATAGTTTAAGTACCGTATTGTTGTTGTATGTATGTAACTGTAGCTGTTATATGTTCCCGTTGTAAATAAATGCTGTATTTACTAAACTGGTCTACTGTTATCACTAACGATAGTGTTACAATTATCATTAAAAGAAAATTTGATCCAACATTATATGTTGGTGCAAAAATATGAACATTTCGTAATTTCCTATTTTCGAGTTCATTTTGGCTTTTATAGCGTGCTGTTGCCTCACATTTTTGTCACTTCTACTTTTCGACTTTCGTGTTTTGAAGAGGCGAAAAGCATAAATTATGAATGGTAGTTGTAGGCTTCTATACAATTTGGATATCATAAGCATATATAGGCCTATCTTTTCCCGGTAAAATCACAACATCAATGTTCATTTAAATTGACAAATAATTCGTGTTTCAATGCCGGAAGACTGTGGATGATATTGAGTTAAAGACTTAGCTACTTTGATATACAGTGTGAATTTCAATATGAAATATATCTGAAAAAAAGCGGTTGCCATGCTAAAGAGGCCCACACTTCGCAAGAGATGGACAAAGAACAAGCTAAAAAAAATGGGGTCATCATCCAGGCAGATACGGTCTGAAGTATCGACAGGAACTCAGAGCTTTGGGATATGAACATATAATCGGACAAGCTAAAATAAAGACGATTTCTCGTACAATAGGGGGACACGAGACAAGAAGTTAGGCCCGATATGCGCGAACATCAAACCGAGATCTTTGATACATAAACATATATATTACGTTTTTTTCAAATCGGATACAAATCGTTAGAGGGACCCAACCTTCGATCCGATTATCACGAAATTCGAACCCAGGGTGTAACGGTGATATATTTAAACGATTTTTAAAATCGGATATAAACTGTGATTTCTTCAGGTTCACAAGCAAAAAACCCCGAAATTTTTGGTACAACCAGGCTCCATAATCTAGGAGGTTACGGACCGATATGTGCGAATATGGACAGAAACCAAATTCCGTGGAATATAGACATATATTTTAATTTTGATCAAAAGCGGATAAAAAAAATTGTGACCTCTACAGTGTACACAACCTTGGTATTACATACTTTTACACTATTTGCGAAGGAGCGGGCAGTTTCGATCAGATTTTCATGAAATTCGAACTCAACCATCATAAGGGTTGAATGGTGATATGTTAGAACAGCTTTGGATAAAATGCCAATATCGAAAGGAAGTGTGTGTCCACAAATAAACCGTTGACTGACAGGGGCGACTCAATACACATCCACTTGAAAATGTGGGCGTACAAAAATAGCTCCGCATGATAAAACTTTGTTTTTGGAAGACTAAACAACTGATTTCCCAGAAATGATATCAAAGACTTTATATAAAATGAGATTTTTATTTTAGAAATTAAAATGTTGTCATTTGATACTCCCAATGGCCGGTTCATAGTTGTCAACGCTTATGTAATTTATAATAGGGCAATAATGCTACTCAAGACCGACATGTTGTTTCGATCACCATACCAAGCAATACAAATCAGTGAACCGGACCAAACCCAAACATCCATAATTTAGCACATTTTCCTAGTTATAGACCTAGCACTGTATACAGGTGTTGGAGAGATCAATGTGTTTAACAGATGTTAAGTTTGTGTGGTTACGGGTGTTACAGATATCGTAGTGTGGTGTTTTGAACTTGTAAATATAGCATCATTACCAGAGCTTTACTTTTCTTTAGTAAGTATAGTTTTAGTACTGTTTTTGTTGGAAAACGTTATGCCCTGGTGATCAATCAAGTCCGTTGGCCGAGTCGTTCGTTTTAAGGGGAGATTTTATTTTGTCACAAGGTACAGTCGTTCGGTTGGGACGAAAATTCGAGTCCGTAGACCGGGGCGTTTGTTATAAGGGGGTATTTCGTCCCAAGGATTTATTTTGTCAGCATAAACGTCATCTAAAAATGAGTAGAAAATTGAACATACTGTCAACCTGTAAAGATTAAATTTAACCGGGTTATTAATAGTACTGAAGTTAATTAATTTTAGTGACGTTATCACTGAAAATCTGTTTTTTTACACTAGTATTAATAGGGTACTAAATGAGTTGTTTACTGAATGTACCCAAGTTTTGGGAAAATGTACTGAATACTCTTGGCCTGTAGCACTACTACTTTCAAGTTAGACAGAAAAAGCGGCGGGTTCTTTCCCTCGAAGGAGGACAACGAAGCAGGATCGTAAAATTTGGATGTTGTTTTATGGACAGTCTAGCGCAAAAATGAGAGTGCTAGCTTTAAAATGTAGATTTAGACTATTCAACCATAGGCGGATCCAGGGTGGGGGGCTCAAGCCCCCCCCCCCCCTAATTTTCGACAGTGCCCTTTTTTACTGCTGAAAATGCCTTTTCTCAGACCAAAATATGTCCGTTCCCAACCCGTTGCAGGGATCCCAAATGACTCAAACCATCGACTCAAACACACCAGTCTGGTCTAATTAATGCTTCCACTTTCAAACGAATTCTTGTTGTTTAGCTGACGGTGCCCTAATCCTACAGTGTGACTATAGACAGACATCAATGATAGCATCTTGTGGAATCGGGTAAGGCTCTTTTTCAACAATGTCCGAAAGTTTACTTAGACGAAAATATCAGCCAAATAGCTCTTGGAATGGCTACAGATGCAAGGAAATGACGGATAATTTTCTTGGGGTACCCCCCCCCCCAACAAATCCTCTCAGCGGCGTGCCCCGGCTCCGCCCCTATCAACGCCCTTAATGTTCATTACCAATAACACAGTGAGTGTCAATCCTCATACCTTGTGACCACATGTGTCGTCCTAAATATCCAAGGATGTGGGCTTGGGGATGTTTTTTTTTTGTTTTTTTTTGTGGCGCTTTATCGACAGTCTAGCTTAAGAATGACAAGCATTGATATTTTAATCAATTTCATGGAATTAACGACAAGGTTATCTTAAAGTATAAGCCATAGAAGCCTAAGTTCAGAATTGTTCTTTTAAAGTAACGAGCTGAAACTGCGAACGGCTTAGTTGAAGGGTCAAGAGAGGGTTAGTTTAATGGATGCCGTAATTCTAGAGTTATTGTAATACATACCCCCCCCCCCGCTTTAAGATCACAGCACAAGTAATTATTAGTTACTCTTGCTGTCGAACTTCCAAAAACCGATACGATCTTTTCACTATGTGCTGCATCATGTAGCACCATGCGATAATACATACGACCCATGCATCTTTTCTTACTACCCATGCATCTTTTCTTACTACATATTTCTGTAGCCGTGTGATCGTCTAGAATTTGTCTCTAGCTGCCTTTGCTTCTCCTTCACGCTGTGTGTTTGCTTCTTACTGGTTTCGTAAGACGCTTGTCTTCCTCAGTTATAACAATGCAACAGTTCGTTTTTATATTTTATATAGCATAGCCGAATACATGTATACAAGAAAAATCACAGATTACAATACTAGCTAAAACCATTTCTCCACCCTAGCCAGCCTCTCGGTTGTCTAGGAACTCAGATGGAACCTCTCTGGAATGTAATGGAAGTCTGACTTAAAAGTTTACTATGATTTCTTTTATAAGACTTGTGGATATCATGCACAATCAAGTTTCATCATGGCCCTGAACCTGTGCAATTAACGATATGATTGGTTAAATTAAGCCAAATGATGCAATGGCAAATTTCCATGCACGCGATATCTCGTGGTATTTTATAGACACATGTTTTGGCTAAATAATTCTTTTTTATATAACAATATGTCATTTATACCCTAAGTTGATTTAAGTACACACTATATATAATATATATGTGAATATGTGTGAAACTATTAATTTGCCAAATACATTAATTAATGAAATATAAAGTCATCTTATTTCTCTATTCCTTGCCTATAAATTGAAAACAATGTCGCAACGACAATCTTGCTACAATCTTTTATCTAACTATAATCAAGTCACGCTCAAAAACACAAAATAAACACTAAAAAACATTATCTATGTATTATTTGAGCTATACAAATTCTGTGACGAATTACGAAAGCGTCAAACCACCCATATCTTGTATGAGGGGTTAGATATTTAAAACCTTTAGGAATAGAAGGCTAGGTACACTAAGCCTTATGTTTCTTTTATAATTTTTAATAGTGAATTTAAACGGCTTATTGTAATGTCATGATTTATCAGCCAACATCAAGTAACCAGTCAGCATTTTCCTCTATGGTGACATAAAAATGAAATTAGGTTTAACGTCCTACTGTTTTGTTCCGACTCGGCAATGTGCCATACAGTGTGCTATGAGGGGAAATTTTCCCTGCGGTGTACTCTTATATCGAATTCAAACTATTTAGGGATCTGTGTACATGGGGACTCGGTTGTTTGCCCCATCCGAACGACTATATGTTGTCCCTTGCCAGGCCCTCCGTCCTACACCACTGAAAATAGGGAACCACGCGGGACCAGAAAGTGTGACGTAATTAATCTATAAATGTTAATATCATTGGAATATCAACAACAAATTGGCTAGGTATTTACGACAAAACCTATACCATCGTATTTCCAACCAGCATACTAATAGTACTCACATTCTTGACAAAAGACAGTTTAGCATTAATTTACGTTTTCAGTGATCATATAAAGTGAAAGCAAGAATTTAATTGACAAATAAAATTGATACGAAAGTACAATGCATTCTTCTTACATTTTACTTTCAGGAAATTAATAACAATTCTGATTTGTACATACAAATTGTTATAAATTATCACCAGATCATCTGTGAGGTGATTCAGAGATGTATCTATATTAAGAGGTAAGCACAAAAACCGAGCCCTGCGTCTTAATGGTTCAATTACGGAGAACACACGAAACGGCTTTGGCAAGGTTGTTTTAAACTTTCGTATTATACCTGGATAGTGCAATCCTTTAATAAAAGGGTGGGTTTTTAATGGCTATTAAGTTCTACCTAATAGGTCGTACAGTGTTTGTGACTATTGAGCAGTACGAGCAAACGATGTAGTCAACTCGCATTGTGACTGAATCAAAATCAAATCACGACCCACATGGTCATTGAACCGTGTGGCATACCTATGAGTATTAGGATCTCAGAAACAGGCCGAGAAAGTTCATCCAGAATTTCCGGCGTGGTTCCCCCTTGTCAGTGATAAAAGCACATGACTCTTGATGAAAGATTTTTTTTACCATAAATGCATTCTGTAAAAAAGATAATATAAATGCAATATAAATCGAACAAGAGAATACGTTAGTAATTTCGGTGTAATATTATATTTTGAACACTTTCGTCGGCCGTTTTGATCTGTTGATGCAGCAGTTTTAAATGACAAAACGTGATCAAATAGATTAAAAATTTGTGATTCGCAAGACTATATATGGTTCAATTTTAGTTCAACCGGAGAAAACCCACGAGGCTGAACAGGCGACCCTACTCCTTTTTACGTACAACCGATGAATCAAAACCACACCACTTGACTCAAAGATAGACTTAGGTGCAACGCGCATGTGCAAACCTTTCTCCCCCTCCCCATCCTATCTTATTATAAACATAAACACAAGATAACAGAACGAAACATGTTATCTTCCACACGAGAGTTCACAGTATACGGAAGAATGTTTTTTTTTCAATCACCACTATAACGCACGATTGGGGTCTTCAGTTAAAACCCAAACAAAATAAGATATGCCCTTAATTTCAAAAGGTGTCACAGAAATTAGGGATGACATTTATATGCCACCGTCTTTCGACTCAAGCCGGTCCTTGGAGTCATCAAGATTTGAAATCTAGACCTGAAAAATTAAATTAAGATGAGAATTCTTGGATTAATATACTACCCAGGGAAATAGAATCGTAGACATTAAAAAAATGTGGATACAAAGCCTCCTTTAACATGGTGACAAGGCGGCGCCGCCGCCGCGCACTGGCCAATCTGTGCCGCCAACTGAGCCCAAAAGTTGAAGACTGGGCGGCAACATACATACATTTTGAAAATCGCTGACAAGGTTTTTCCCATGTGCCAATACTATATCATGGTGCTAAGGTTTACAAAACCGTTTTTCTGATTGTTTTATGGGTATATTTCTGTCTGCGGGTCAGACGCAGCAGTGTTTTGATCTCGATTTTACAGGGTATTAATCAATCCATGGTTCAACAAGATGCCAAAACTAATAGTGTATCAAATCTCCGAAACTATTTTAAGTGCTCAGAAATCGAGTCTGAGGGAGTCAATTTTCAAAATTTTCTGGGGCAGGGCCCCCCAGATCCCCCGCGCGGGCTCTCACTTGCGGTGTTCGCGCGGCTTGCACCTACGGTGCTCGCGGGTCGGGATTCGCCCGACATTGCCGCGCACGACCAAATCCTTAGACGAGGCTCTGTGTGGATATTTGTAATTCTGTCATTCGCTTAATTGCTCTTGTGGAAGGGGTGGCCGGTGCAGATGGATGTACTCCGACAGGTGTGTGAAATGTACATTACCTCACATGTATTCAAGTTCTATGAAGAGTTGGTAACGGACAAATCAGGAAGAAAGGTCGCTGCTGTTTACCTGATCCGACAATCTGGAATGTTAAGACATTTTGGATATTCCACCTCCCGACAAGATTGAAATAATCTGAATCCGTAAAACAAAACATTCACTGAACGGTTAACCACAATTTAATAAATGCTGCTGTTGATAGATTACTTAAATAGCTTGGGTAATTTAAGCAGCCTTGCAAGCCACTTGAATCGCATGTGACATAAATCCCACGCAAATATCTTGAGTGCAGTGACGCCAAACAAACTATGCCGGCTTAGTGTATGACTTAAGGGAAAGGGTTTTCTGTGATCTGACAGAATGAGGCGTAGTTTGATATCCAGTGTGCAGTTTGGAGAGATTACTTGACCCCCACCTCATACCACCTTGATGCTACTCAGTTTAGACATCGTTGTAATGCCCAATTCCGCGATGAGATGTTTCCTGGTAAAACCAGACTGATGAAGGGCAATATGAAGAAGATATACTGAGCCACGATGTAAAAGTTAATCAAGGTCTTAGAATCCACTGTAATGTGTTACGATGGTAACTGCTAGACAGGCAAATGATTGATGTAATCGTTCTATGTACCTGGACTCAATTAAAGTTTATTCCCTGACGATAAATGAAACGGGGCATTTAGAACAGCTACACTAAATAATAAGACGCAAGGGCCTTGTGCATATATGTATAAGAATAAATACACACCGTGCCCTTTACATAGTAATTGTTGTCTAGTTTAGTCATTCCACTCTTTCAACCGTGTCCTTGTATAATATCTATGTTCATCATTCCACTCTTTCAACCGTGTCCTTGTATAATATCATGTTCATCATTCCACTCTTTCAACCGTGTCCTTGTATAATATCATGTTCATCATTCCACTCTTTCAACCGTAATCCCATACCTGAAATAATAGAAATATGTAAATGTGCTAAAACAAAAATGAACCAAGAATATATGTGGTTGAATCGGAAGGGAGGCCTCCGCGTGGTTTCAACTCAAAATAGACATAATATGTCTCTTGTCTCCTTATGTGGCGGATATGCGTACAAAGACAAATGATATGGTAGCTATTTGTCTCGGTCACTCAGAACCTCCTAGTCTTCAACGTACGGAGGAGGGTCTGGGACCGTTGTCAATATTGCTCATGCGTAACCGGGAGTTTGTTTTTTTATGTGGTTGATTATCCGGTATCTTTGCTCAAATCAAGTAAGGATTCCACCCCTTCCGCAATAAATGTCATAATTCTTGCATTAATATAAATTAACATGAATCGTGAATTAGGATAAATTAAATAAAAAAAAGCATAAACATGGCCCATAAAAAGAGAAATTTTACAATAAAAAGGCAAGAGTGTTGGATGTTTAACTGGCAATGCAATCAAATGGATTTTCTGAAATGTCATTCTTAAATTAATTTCAAGTTGCGTCGACATCTTGTTTTAGGACTAGTTACCTCCCGAAGACTTTGTTTATGATAATTTAAAATACTAGATACTCTAGCCAATGACATAATATTTTCTCAAATGTTGACAACGCATCCAGACTAATATTCGTAAAGTAATTTTCTGGATGATAGAGACTAGATATCCATCCCTATTAGATGAAAGGACACTTGAAGCTCAGTTTACAGTATATAAATATTAAGACAGCCGATGACCTAATCATACTTTTCTATTGACATAGGTTTTGTTTTTATTTATAACTTCCCTACAATAAATACGCCTCTCGGGATTAACATTATTTACGATATTATGCACATTAATATACTTTTGTTTGTCATTTTAATTCTCTGTAGTTTTAAATATCCCCATTCTTCATTTATGTATACTGTTGTAGGGTTATCCTAATCTTAAACTTTCCCCTTCTATTTGGGTTTGGGAGGGGGGGGGGGGGTGATCAGTAATGGTACTTTTATATACTATCTAGGATGGACCTGTTGGAACACAAGAAATATGCAATTAACTTGTCAATATATTATATTAATTCTTGAAATGACACCTAGAAGCACGGTTTAACTATTCATAACAAAACACAACACAAGGTATATACGGATATAACTACTTCTCTGTTATTTAATAACGACGTTTCGTAACACATACAGGTCACGTTTTCAAGTTAATGATAAATATCCATCTAGTCATCCTATTTATACATATTGTAGCTTTCACCAACTTAAACATGCATTATGCAAGAGCTAAATCTGTCTATTGCAGATCTTTCTTTAGGCCTGAAATGTTATATAAACTATTAGACATTAATTAACGTATCCAGAAGATAATCAACTCTCGATGTCAGCGCTATCTTAAGATAATTTTGTTGGATTATGATCCGATTTGCTGCATAACTGTCCTTCTCGATTTAACGATTAAATGGATAATCGAGACTATGATTTTTGAAGTACCGACTTTAGTAATGATGACCGAGGCTATGCGGAACTTTCGATCTCTTTATTTCTGGGTTCATAGTGGATCAATTTGACTGAAATTTGCAGCAAATTGCCTTTACATTATCTAGTTTTAACTATTATAGTGAGAACTGTCAACTCGTTATCGAATCTCCCATAATGTATCTTTAATTAATAATCAGACGAAACCATTAAAATAATTAAAAGCACCTACAATAACAATAAATAATACAAATAATATTGACTGACCCTTGAGTTAGATATTCACAGATAATCAGTGCTAGAGATCAAAGGTCAGCCTTAATAGGGTTTCCCCATATAACATCTTAATCAGACCAACATTAATAATCACAACTTAATAATTATTATTAACTTAGAACTAGGCAGTAATACCGAAAATATAATATGTTTCAAATAATAGAGACAACACCTTCAACCCACCATGCCAACTAATAGGGTTATTCAAAATAAAATAAGAATTATAAGCATTTAATTAGAAAACAGGCCACACTGCTTTAAATTGATTAAAACCTATGACAGAATGGGTAACCATATATCACCTTAGGTGGAAGTGGACGTAAAACCCCAGAAACGAACGAACGGATATTTATCTTGTCTACGATATCACCTTAGGTGGAAGTGGACGTAAAACCCCAGAAACGAACGAACGGATATTTATCATTAACCTGAAAACGTGACCTGTATGTGTTACAAACTATTGAAAGGTCCCGTGAATTATTGTTACTGTGGGTGAAATCATTGTCAAATATCGTATTTTCTCGACTACTGACTTCACGTAATACCGTCATCTTTGGTAGACACCATGAGTAAGCGAGTACGACGCTGGTTCGCTGAAGGTCGCGGGCTCGATCACGTTGGTGGCCGGGAAAGTTCATCGGGATTTTCCATCATGGTTTCCCATGTTAGTGGTACAGGACGGAGGGCCTGACAAAGACAGCTGTCTAGTCATTCGGATGGGAAGAACAACCGAGGTCCCGTGAAGACATGGGCGTGCACGTAAAAGATCCCTTGGCAGTTGGAATTCGATATAAGAGTAGGTCGTATCGCCGCCGTCTGAGCAAAATGTCCCTCATAGTACTCTATGACGTATGTCCGTCTTCATTAGCCCAGTTGGAACGGAACAGTAGGTCGTTAAACCCCATTTCATTTCATTTCAGACACTGTTATTGATCTGGGCAGATACACTAGACATTTGTGTTCCTTTGACTTCATATCATAATCCCGACTCTTCGTCCTGTACCAAAAATACGGAAAGAATAATTCCGACCAGGGAATAATTTTTCTTTTTATATAATGTTCTATTTTAGGATACACATTTATCAGTCTGTATTATATACAATGTTGTTATCAGGTTTTTTAGGTGTCTTAAACAAAGGTCTAAGTACAATTCATTCTGGGTTGTAATATTAAATGTTTTTCTTTTCTGAAGACATCACCTGTAAATAAAGGCCAGTAAATGGATACAAACTGATCGGTACCTTAAAAGATTTACTACAGATTTTGTGAGATTGATAATTTTTTCTCAATTTCACATATTTGACAAAAGATATAATTGTAATCTGTGCCTACGATCGTCAATTGTCAGGGTTGGTGTTTGCGAGGCTGACACGGTAAGTAGGTCCATATACATTGGCGTGTGCGTAAAAGAAACATTCACGGCTCGAGACCTGCGGAAACGTCGTTGCCCGGGCAAAATTATTCTACCTAGTTTTGCACACGTAACCATAAATTTAAATAAAACTAACATCTATGAGTCTCAAGATGGCCGATATATTAACCCCATTCCAGGAGAAAAATATAATATTTTCATAATTGTCACTAGCTTGGAAACCATGTAAATTTAAAACGAAAAGGAATTTCGTCCATTATTGTGTTGTTTTCAGCTTCGCCTTTTCTGAATTGAATTTCATTAATGGTGTTACATGTATGTACACAGCATAGAGAGAGAAATGGGGTTTAACGTCCAATCGACACAAACTAGGTCATTTCGGGACTAACATATGGTTTAATTTTATTTACATAATACGCTTGCGCGTAGGGGTCTTTAGCAGTGGGAGGAAACCGGAGAACCCGGAGAAAACCCACGAGGTTGGACAGGCGACCCTACTCCTTGCCACGTACAACCGGGGATTCGATACCACGCCAGTCGACTCAATGACAGACTGTATGATACAGCGCGCGCACGCTAACCATTCAGCCATCCAACCCCCCCACACAGCATAGACACATCAAAAAAATTATGAGGAAGTACATTGTACTCATTCTGTTTCATTTAAGAATAAAAATGAGGTCACTGAATGTAGTTTTGATTGGCTGTCATATTTATGGTGTTGTAAACACAAATAGAATAGTCTTAGTATACCTACATTTGATGGCCTAAAACGTTCACGGGGTCATGCTGGTTAATGTGATACCACACCTGTTAGTGGAGCACGGCGAAGATCAGGAGCACTTTACAAAGTGACAGTATAATATGCCAGACAGAGACTATGTATTAATGTATTTTTATATACATCTACATATACTTACATATTTACATATAGTGGTATAATAGACACGACGACGAAGGTTCACACACCCGCACCTATATGATTGAAACCTCTCGGCGTATTATTCGGAAAGTATTATAACAAATACTTTTCTCAAGCCTGACGAATGTTATGCTTAGAAATAAGGAAAAGAACAGATAATCAACGCTAAATACTGACACAGAATTTTATATCAAAGATTGATTAATGCGTATATTAGAAAAGAAAAGATCAGAAAGACAATACCGAGTTTTCTTTTTCACACTATAATCCATAAAACGAAATGTATGTCGGATTTCTGAAAATTTTGATCAATATTATAAAACAGTTTACGTAATCTGGTGTCTTGATAGTCAATAATTTTAGCCAGTATTTGATACATTTAACAGAGTATATAGTATATAACGCCCAGTTTCTCTTAATACAGATGATGTACATGAATGGTGTGGCAATTTCAATATATTGAATAATATTGATCATAATGGTGGACAGAATTGGGCATCATACATAAAAAATTTATTATTTCGCTACGGATTTGGGTATGTTTGGCCGTCTCAATCAGTTGGTAATTCCAAAGTCTTTTTATATATGTTCAAACAAAGACTACAGGATGCTGGACAACAAGAATGACATTGTAATATTCAAATAATAGCAGATTGCAATACTTTTCAACTTATAAATTAACTCTAGAGGTGGAAATGTACCTAATTAATTTAAAAATCGACCAAAAATATGTAAAATCTCTATGTAGACTTAGAATAAATTATGTTTATGATTCTGCAGGGTAAATGGAAACACATTCCATACGAACAACGACTTTGTAAGTCATGCAATATTAATACCATCAATGACGAATGTTACTTTGTA